CTGGAAGACCCACATCAGCCATGAGTTTGTGATGTTCACGTTTGAAATACCGAAGTCCTCTGTCTCTGCCTCCCTCACCTGATCCCCGTGCTTCTGCAAGCTTTACTGTCTTCCAGGGCAGGCTGCTTGTTAACGGTGCCAGAAGCCATTTGCTTTCCTGTCCTGAGTGTTGCAGTTGCACCATCTGCTGGAAATTCTTTTAGCAAAGAATATTTTGTTGCCATGGAAAATATCACCCCACCCTTCCAATGAAAGAAATTCTGATTTTTTTTTTTTTTTTAACTTAAACCTGAAATTTCCTCAGTTAGGGAATCTTGTTTCCCTGCCCCACCCCCAGTGCTTTCAGCTCTTTCTCAAACTGAATGCCAGTACAGCATCGTAGTTAAAATGGCCCAGGTTCAAATCCCCACTGATATAACTCTTCTTTTTATATAACACTAACAGCATTTCAGTGGGGTATAATGGATATAGCATTCAAATTTCTTGTGGGCAAGACTCAGTCTAACCTATCTCATTACACTGTTTTGAATGTAAGGGAGAAGTGTCAGAGGAGAACCACCTTTGCCATCCCAAGGAACCTCTAAAATTTTAAAATAATACTGTAAAGGTACTTATTTGAGAGTTACCTATTCACTTTCATTGTCTGCAGAAGTATTAACTTATCCAATGTAATTTTATTTTTGTCCAGATTTATGTTTCTTGGATATAATCCTTGACAAATACCATGTGCACAACTGCTCATGTATGCTAACATAAAAAAACCACATTTTTTCCCCAGAACTGCCAGGGACAGAAGTGACTCACCAGGAATGGCAAATTTACAAGATGTGAAGATATGGGCCGTATTAGCTTATTATACTTTTTTCTATACCAAATCACTCATCTGCACCTTCGCTAGGATATTCAGAGGAACGAGATATTCCCTTAAAGGAAAACAAGTAAGAAATGACTTCCTCGGTATTCTTCTTCCCTCCTGGATGATACCATTCCAAATGAGTGTTTGATTTTTCTGCTACCAGAGGCTATTACTTGTATTTTTGTACAAAAATGGATACACAGTTAAACAACATTTGATAATCTTCCAGAACAGTTTATTCTTCTATTAAAATAAGGTACTCAAAGGCCAAAACTTAAAGTAACATTAAAAAGGAATAAAGTCTCCTGCTGACAACTAGCTTAAAGTCTGGATTACAGAACAGCTTAGCCTGCTGTCTTAGGAGACATTCTAGGCATTTGGCAACCCTCTGAGGCAAATCTTGTTTTGCACAGGGGCCATTGCCAATTCTACTGAGTCTCTTCCATTAGGAAACTCTGCACTTGGCCACAGCACTTTCAAACTAACCTCAACATTTCAGAGCTCTCCTCATTGTAACCACTGCAAGGGCTGCTTGGTCCTGGCAAGCTCACTTTCCTAGCCTTTCAGCATATTACAGAAGCTTCAGCTTTAGTCTTGGCCGAGGATTAGGGTCTCTTGGAGAAAGTCCTCTCTTGGCTGCTGACTCTGAACTCATAGCTTCATGAGACGAGCCATCTGATCCCTGCGCCTCCGTTCCCCTGCCCAGGTCTTGTTTTTGACATGGAACTTGACCATCTCTGCCTTGAAATCCTGGTGATCCATGGGACAGTAACTCTGTGGTTCACACAGTTCCTATTAGAAAGGGAGAACAATCAGGATTCATGTTCTCATATTTTAAAGTCCATAATTTAGTTAATCACAACAATTAGTTAATTAGTCACAAAAATATCAACATGCAACTTGTAAAAAAAGAGCCAGTAGGTTATGGCTCTTTGATTTATAAGGGAAAACAAGTGAAATTTCATAGTTCATTTCTATTAAAGGTTTAGAAAACAGGAAAAATGTGAATGGGATAAGGGAAAAAACCCTATCCTATACATACTGCTTTCCCTGTTTTTTATTTATTTATGAAATGTATAAGCTGCCCCACTTTGTTGTGACTTCGTGTGGCTTACAAAATGCAAAAATAAAAACCCAGTGTCATTCCTAGATGCCATTCCTTCCCAAATCTGGATCTAAATGTTTTAAACCAAACACAAGTAATGTATGACATCGTCCTTCCTTCCATTTCTCAAAGCACCTCAGTATGGGATACATAGTTCCACCCACTTTCTTTTGTTTTCTTTTTCTATATCCTCTGCTACCCTGTGTGGATAAATTTGAAAGTGTGTGATTTGCCAGGGTTTATCCTATAAGCTTCATGGCTTTGGGAACCTGAACCTGCATCTCTACTTCCTAGTCTGGCACTTTTGCCTGTCATCATGCAGATGAAAAGGATATTCAGATGTTTTATAACTGCATGCTTTTTTCTGATGCATTATAATGTGCAATGTTTCTTCTGTTCTTAAAGATTCTTTAAGTGCAGGTTTCCTACATACTTTTACAAACAATATCCTCTTAACTGAGATAAGTCTGAGCATAATCAAAATAGGGACAACATCTAGCAAAGAAAACCTTTGCCCAGCAACCTTGCCTATAGCACCACCCTGGGAGATACAGAGTTCTGGATTAGACCACAGGCATGTATTATTCACAGAGCTGCCTTTGAAGACAACTTGTAAACTTCAGTTTGTTCAAAATGCTGCATCTTTTGTCAAACAGAACATTCCTCCCATTTTAAAAGAACTTGACTAATTTCAAAGTGCTGGTTTCAATCTCTATAGCACTTTGTAGCTTGAATCGAAATAGGTAGGACTATGTAGAAATCTAAATGTTAAAATCAATCATAGAAGCCTTTCTATGTTGTATCTGTTCCAGAAGTGAATAGAGATAGGACATTACATGAAGTGGATCCAACTCTTCCAGAAGTTTGCCTGGTGCTTTAAGTTAAAGGTGTTGAATTAATTTGGCTGAATCTATACAAAGAATATCTAATCCTTAACTGCTTCTTTACTGGTCAAATTACTAATTTTTAGTTATTGTTCTAAGGTTCTTTATAAATGTTTCTGAGTTTAAAACCAATCTAGATAAAAAGATTAGGAATACTGAAAGAAGGAATGATCTTTCCATTTGTTGGAATCATTAACACCTGACAAATATGATGCATTTCTATATAACAGCAGTCTTTGCCACGTTATTACCTTGTTTTCTAGAAAGAACTCCTTGTAGCCACCTTGAAGAACATAAAGTTCAGGATAGTGCAGGGCAGGATATTCATTCATGGCTCGGTCTTCCTCTCTCAGGTAGCGACACCTTCAGAGCAAAGGCAACTTTGGTTATTCTGCCTATCCAGAGACTTCCAAAATCACCTGTTTCCCTGCTCCCAAAAGTCCCCCCCCTCCACACCCCACTGGGGTCCACACTCACATCTTGGGACCCCTTTCAGAAGAATATTCACAATGGAATACAAGGATGAGGCGCTTCTGTGGCGAAGATTGAAGCAGGGGCTTCCTCAGGAAAAGTTCAGATAAGTCATCTTGCCTGTGAATATTCAAAGCCCCCTGTAAAGGGAAAAAATGCATTGGGCTCTGCTATAGGTAGGCCATAGCCTTCTATAATGACCATGCTAGCCAGGGATGACTGGGGTTCTACTTCAGCACAGCTGAAGGCCACCAGACTGGGAAGGCTGCTGTTAAGACAACATTCCTCAAGTGAGTTACACCTATTAGTTCTTTTGCAGAACATGATTAATCCAGAATATAAATCCCTCACCTTGATGTGGCCCCCATGATATTCATAGGGATAACGACAGTCAACAATATAGAACTTCTCTATAAGGCTTTGAAATTGATTGTGGAGCAGTGCTACCATCTATAAAGAGAACAGAATAGTATCCACATTGAAGTAATGATTATATCTTAGTTTTACTTAGCTCACAGAGTTATTATGAGGGCAAAGAGTTAACCCTATCCTGAGCATTTTGGCTGTAGAGTTGAATAAATACAGAATAAATAAACCTACAATTTTTCTCCCCTCCCTACCCGTAAAAGGCTACCTATCTGGCACCATTAAAAGTAGATTGTAGTGTAGCTGCAATCATTTAGATACTCTACAGAAGAATGTTAAGAACAGACAGGCTTGCTTGGGTAAGTACTACAGCAAGACCTCTTCAGCTAGCTTCTGAAACTTTTACAGAACCAAGTGACACTAAAGGAGAAGGATGTACAGCTAGAATTCAGCTGACCCGAGAGAGCATATTTGCAAGCCAAAAGGAAAGAGAAAGTCAGACATATGAACAGTTAGCAGGCACAATTGCTCACAGTATCTGTAGTGATGTATCTCAGATCCGAATGCCTTCCTGTGACTGTTGGCAGTGAATACACCTAGAGAGACACAATCGCATTTCATGTCTAGAATTTCTGCAAATCAAGAGATCCTCTAGCTCAGGGTTCCTCAACCTTGATGACTTGAAGATGTGCGGACTTCAACTCCCAGAATTCCCTAGCCAGCCATGCTGGCTAAGGAATTCTGGGAGTTGAAGTCCACACATCTTCAAGTCACCAAGGTTGAGGAACCCTGCTCTAGCTCTTTCAAGCCTCCACTAGATAAATCCTAATGCCAACAATGTAATCCTGAATGCAGTTACTGGGAAATAAGCTGCCCTGGATTCAGGAGAACATACTTTGGAGTAAATTTGCAAACATTTCAATTGCATGTGCATTAAGAAGCAATACTAAATATACATTATGACTCCCAAAGCTTCCTCCATCCTTTGAAGACAGTATATGTTGACCATATACTAGGCTGTGTTTTCTGAATTATTTCAAAGCAGTATTGAAAATTATAGAATGAAATGTTTTAGTCTGAAAATCCATTTACTATCAGAAGGGATGGGAGGGAATATATATATGTGATACAACATATCTTTAAATTTGTTAAATGTATTTTACTTTGTACTTAACCCCAATCCTCCCTTATGAGAGTTTGCTGAATGGTGTGTTTTTCCTGGTTTGCCCAATTTTGCAGAGCCAGATGAAGAATTTTTATTGTGACTTGGTATCATGATGGAGATTGTTCTAAGTTGGTCAAGGCTGCACTGCACTAACACCACCACAATATATTATAGTACATGCATTATTCAAATAACCAGGATCACAAAACGGTAGTAGCAGGATATGACAGAAATAAAAGAGCAGCAAGGAGTGCAGTTATCACAGCACACTTGAAGAAACAAACTTATGATATAAATGGTATAGTTTCTTTTTTGCCCTAATTCAAGTTAGTTTCTGATTATTATAGTACCTAACAATTCATGCAGCTTCTATATCTGGATTGCTATTTATCTCTTGGTATCAGGGATATTGCTTTGCTCAACTCTAATATAAGCAATACTCAGTTTTATTAGACAATTGGCAAGCCCATCTAGGCAGATTTATAATTTGTTTGCAATCACTTTTCACTATTTTGTTCTTGTAATTGTCGTTTTAAACTAAATTCAGGATAATGTATATTCAAATGCTTCTTTGCAAAAATGAGGGCTAGACATTTTAAGAACAGGGATCTAGGAAAAATGAATTATGTACTCTTCTAGTTATGTACTAGAAAAATTCAAAATATAAGTGCATTAATGGCACAGTGGCAGTTATCTTGTGCTGGGTATCGCACTGACTAGTACAGTGCAGTCTTAACCTGAAGAACTCTTTGAAAATGGAAGGAGGGACTCAGGTTAACTTCTTCCTAAGAAATGTAATCACAGATGACAGAATCTACAATAAAACATGCTCAAAAGCTACAAGAATATTTCAGGCTAATTTAATGTCCATTTCAGAGCCCACTGGTACTCTGTGACAATGGCCAGTGACAATTGAGTCACACACCACACTGTTAAGAAAGGTATTTTCCATTTGATTTTGGTGCATTAGAATCATGCCTATTTGGATTTATAAAAGCATAAAAGCTTTATGCTAGCGTGAGATGCTACTCATACAACAATTCTTAACTGGAAGTCTTAATCACCCAGCTGTATGACATGACAAACAATTTCTCTAATCTGTTACCAAGTCAGATCATGATAAGTCTTGCTTGCCAACAGAGATTCAAATTTCCCATACTGTTTGATGACTGCTCTGGTACTTTTCAACTAATGCAGTCATCAAAAGGGCACCTAGACTGAGAAAGTCTGATATAGAATGACTATATCTCAGCATTGTTCAATAATTAGGAGGAGAGGTTTGGGACAGCATGACATTCACACCAATGACAAAGTCAGCATTCTTCCTCCTACGCACCCAAAGAAAGAATCACAGAAGCAAGAAGGCACCTACACTGGAGAAATCGCCAATTAACTGCCTGAAGCCATGGTCTTGATCAAGGGCTCTGACAATCTCAATGTCAGAAAGGGAGGCTGTTTTCTTCAAAACCATAATCTATAAACAAGCAGGCAATCCATCAATACGTATGCAGACAAATTACTGTGGATCAGTCTTCTGTGTATGAGCAAGTCCCAAATAACAAAATATTAACTGAAACCATAGTTAAATATTTCTACAGAAATAATACAAAGATATGAGTCAAAGCAGGAGAATTGAAATATTTAATACTAGAGGAAAACTTAGATATAAGGGTAATGAGGCCTTTGACGTGCCATTCGTTGACTGATTCAACTATCAGCCTGAGCAAAACCACTGAGTTTAAACCATGAGAAAAGTGTAAATAGAATTGGGATCAAGAAAGGGCTCCAAAAATACAGGAGGATCCCAGTTCAGTTAATGAGCAGTTAGAAAGTATATGAGTGGCAAGGAGACATCCATTAAAAAAAAATAGAATTCTTAACCAAATAAGAAAAAAACAAACAATGGAAATAGAAATGGACAAGGTTACAAAAAGAGACCATGAAAAACTTATGCTAAAAATGTTCAAAAGTTATTTTAAAGCAGAGATTGGGAATAAATGGACAATTATCCTAATGGAGAGATGTACAAGGCAGAATTCCCTAATGACCTGTATTGGGACTGGCGCCTTTTAAATGCAAAATTATTTGGGCTGATAAATTAAAAAAATAAAAGAACTCCAGAAGGGGCTCTCTAAATTGAATTTGAATGAGTTTAAATTGGCAAATGCAGTTCAACAAAAAGTAGTGCAAAAGCTTGGAGCAAAAAATCTGAACTTCATACATAGTGATGACAGAAAGTTTATGATCCTTTAGAACTATCTGTAATCCTGCTGTGCTGTGAACTACAACGTGGTCTGAACCTCATCTCAGTCCAATTAACGCAAATAAATGCAGGGATAGCAGGCCTATGGGTTGTACTTGAATCAAATGCATCATGCCTTAAAAGCCAACTGCTTGGATATAACAGTGGAAGAGAGCTAGCCCTGTCAAATGTGTAAACTGGGTGTATCTGCTGACCAGTGGATGAATGCTGCAATAAATAGACTTCTGGCCAGCAAGACTCTTCCAAACATCTTAGCTGTTTTGTCTCTCTCTCTCTTTGAACAAGCATGTGCTTAGGACTGGAAAAAAAACCAACATCTGTGCTTCCCTAACGGCTCTTTTTGACCCAGTTGACCCAGCTACCGTTCTAACCTTGCTACCAAGACCTGGGAATTTAAGGAAAAGGTCCTGGATATTAGGACCAAACCTAGTAGTTTCTTACCCCATCTGGCCCTTCCTGGATCGGGCTGCACTTCTGTTTCACCTTAGTTGGAGTTTCGTCATCATGGCCTTTTACCACCCTCTTTGATGCGGGCCTGTTTAGTTTTGCTGGCAGAGATGGAGATCGGAAGAGGCGGGCCTTGTTCATGGAGACCTGCTTGGTGTATCAAACAAACAGGGAGATCAAGACAGCAGGAGGGAAGGAGGAGAGCCTCACAAACCCTACATTTCACTGGTAAGGCTTCAAGGCATCAGCCTCATTAACAGGTATTGACTGATTGATTGATTTTCTACCAACTGTACTTTCATTATACCATGTAACTATTGTTAACTCTCTCAGATGAGTTTGGCAGCATCAGTTCTGCAACAGCCTTGCAAGTCAGCCCAGAAACTGTTTTACTGGCCTAGCCATATACATGTCAATCATTTGAACCTTTAAATGCTGCTGTTTTTAAAGAGTCTAGACTGGATCATTTGGAAGACAAGATGTTACTTGCTACTGGCTACAAGGCAAAAGCCTAAGTTAACTAAATTGCAGATTAAAAATCCCTCCTTACCTCACTGACATTGACGTCCTGAGTACGGAGTGGTCCAGACAACAAGGCAGCCATGCTAGAGTGGTGCCCGGAAAGAGGCTTCTATGAAGGAATCACAGGAGAAAACAGAGCATTAAAAAAAAAATTGCCAGATGAAAACAGAACATTAGGCATTTACAGTTTTAATAGTATGGTCTGACCAATGCAGAATAAAGTGGAGCTATCTCATGATTTAGAAAATGCATTTCTATTAATGCAGCCATGCTAGAGTGGTACCCAGAAAGGGGCTTCTATGGAGGAATCACAGGAGAAAACAGAGCATTAAAAAAAAAAAAAAATCACCAGATGAAAAGAGAACATTAGGCATTTACAGTTTTAATAGTTGAACAAAAGAGGGATTTCAACAGGTGAAGCTCATCTTACAAAATATTCTCAGTCCTCTTTTGCATCTGGCTATGCTAAGCCCAACAACTTTTTCATTATACTGAGTAAGAAGAGTGGCAAATGCAGAATCACTTCTATTCACAAAAACACAATACAACCCTTCCTTTAATTCTACCAGCATATATCCCATTCAGGTGGCAATTCCATACTCTACAGGATGGTCCTCCCTGACTCCCCGTGTGGGTCATTTTCATATCCCACACGTCACAGGTATGAGGAAAGAAAGGATTGCTGTGTGGGTGAAAACAAAAATATAAGCTAGGATGAAAGGACTACTGTATTTTAATACTATATAACTAGAATTCTACAGATACAGAAAGGAGATATTTCTGAGGTGGTTCAGCTCTGGAACTGATGACAAATAGTAGCCAGTTTAAGAAATTCTGTTCGGCTTTGGAACAAGCTGTAATTAGGGGTGTTCATTTTCATCTGACAGAAGAGAAATGGAAGTAGCTCACAGAATCTCTGCTGACAAACAGTGTTTAATGCAGTGTTGTCCA